ACTACAGGATTAAGAACTTATAATGAATTTCCAAAATATATAAAAAATACTGAAAATCAGCAAAAGCTGAAATTGGAATTTGAAAAGGGGAACCAGAAATGCTTGTACTCAAGAACAGAAAAGTATTTTGTAATTGAAAACTTATATATAGATGGCAGTCTAAAAAGCTTCACTAAGGTCAGAGGATGATTTAATGACTTAATGACAATGTAATGGGATTTCAAATGTATTTTATCCAGGACTGTTGTATAAAATATTCATAATACATGTACCTCCTGGAGCAAAATTATAGCCATGTTTTACACCAGTGAATAATAGTGGTGAATAACCATTATTCACTGGTCTAGGTCTAGAGTTCCTGGGGTAGGCAATAAATGTTATATAATTAATTTTAATTATAATATTAATTATGCCACTTGCTATGCTCCTGACATAAACTTGTGAATAATAGTCCTCATTATAAGTTTGATGAATAACTATTATCCAGTTGAATGATTATGAGGAGCTATAGAGAAATTATATTTTTAACAATCATCAAGCAGAAACTGTAGAAGTAGGTAGGTGCTACACAGCTTCCACTTGTTTACATTTTCCTTATAGAGTACAATTCTATTATGAAATTTATAGGATAATCTTACCAGCCCAAGGGTTTTCTAGCTTTAGACTGAATGAAAATTCTTGGGACATCAATATTTTCCTTTATATTAATTGTTCTTCTATGTACATAAGTGTTTACTATAATTTCAAAGCCAGACTCTTCTAGCAAATTGGAAAATTCATCAATTGAGAAATAATAGCTCCGAGTTCCATCTTGCCTCATATAAAAATTTTCAGCAATTTTATTTCCAGGCTTGAATCTTAGTTGAGCCATATCATAAAGTCCATAATCTCTAAACAATAATATTCCTCCAGGTTTTAGAAGGTTAAATAGGTGTTTCAAAGTAGTGGAGAATTTATCAGGATGAATTGCAGATAAAACAAATATTAGTGTGATTATATCAACTGAACCAGCTTCAACTTCTTCAAACACATGATCTGTGGTGATATCACATTGGAACACTTTAATTTGTTCCTGGCTATAATTTGGGTGTTTCTTGACAATTTCTACAGCACGGGGCGACAAATCACATGCTATGACTTTGAAATTCAAATTTTCTTCAATAAGAGGAAAGATGAAATTTCCCACACCACAACCAACTTCAAAAAGAATGAGTTTGGTAGTTTCACTCTGATTCAACAATTCCTGGAATTCTCTAGTAGTCCAGTGGCGATCTTTGAAAAATCGAGATTCATTCCTTTTGTAAAACAAGTCCCAGTGCTTTTTTGCTTTCACTTCCAACATGTTGGCTTGGTGTTCACTGACGATACGATCATTTTGTGCGGAAAGTCGTTTGCATTCTTCATCAGTTAGAGTTTTATCGAAATCTACAAATTCCATTATATTTATATAAAGAACTGTTCTTTTCAGGCAAAATATGAAATATTAAAATATCACATCCTAAAGTCCTAAATAGCAAAATAGCACTTATCAGAACTGTTAACTGTTAGCCTTTTTTTTTCTTCTTCTTCTTCTTTTAGGCTTCTTGGTTTTCTGTAACCTGATCCGGTATTTTGTTTGGTACTACCGTTGGTATTTTGAGAAGTTTTTAGGATTCATTTATGGTAGGTATATTGTTAGTTCCCATTTTTAGTAGGGTAAAAATGATGGTTTTATCCAGTTTTATTATCATTGTTTTTTATTTAAGCAAAAAAACAAAAAGGATCAGCAGACATCAGAAATTATCCTGCCACTGAACTATAACCCTACAAAGTTATAGTTCAGTAAGCGGTTCCTGCTGAGAGAAGTGCCTAAATCGTTCGAACCATCTCCATCACGTGATATGTTGAAATTCGTGTTTTTCCACTAATAGCATTTTGTATAGTGATTTAGGCATTCAAGGAGTTTCTCTACGAGCGAATGCTCATGAGTGTTCACTGTGACAAATCTCAAGAACGATAGACCATTATCGTTCTTGGACCAATCTGATAGCCTTGGTTATCATCGAGATTCGATGGTAATGGTTGCGGGGGTTGTATGATCTCGATGGTAATAACGGTTGGAGGCCGATTTTCAAACAATGAAATCAGTAAACAACTCCTCAAATACCATGGAGCATCTAGCTAAACATGTCTACCCGAAGGGAAGTTCTAGGTGGTTCTAGATTTGGTTCTAGATCAAAAAGCAATAGCAATAGTCATTGTATCGATGCATGATTGATGATTTATCATCCATTTTCATATACATGTATTTATATTTATGATGAATCAGATGACAGATGCCATAAGAAGTGACGGGGAACTCGACTTCAAGTTGGGCAGTCCTGCGCAGAACGTTATTTGGAGCAGGGAATTATCGTTATCGTACTCATACCCATAATTTCTATGAATTTCTATTTTTATTTCAATTCCGAGTTGTAACTCGGAATTCCGACTTGTTACTCGGAATTCCGACTTGTAACTCAGAATTCCGAGTTGCAACTCAAAATTCCGACTCGTAACTCGGAATTCCGACTTGTAACTCAGAATTCCGAGTTGCAATTCGAAATTCCGACTTGTAACTCGGAATTTCGACTTGTAACTCAGAATTCCGAGTTGCAACTCGGAATTCCGACTAGTAACTTGGAATTTTGAGTTGTAACTCGGAATTCCGAGTTCCAACTCGAAATTCCGACTTGTAACTCAGAATTCCGCTGAAGTTGTGATGCCTGAGCCTGAACTTTTATTTCAGCAGAAGTGAAGTTTCTACAAAAATGCTGATGATGGAACCTGGAACCACTATATGATATGATTAAATAATTGTGACAATGAATAATGATGAATGTGAAATCATATGGTTCCTTTTTAAATTTGTAGGTGTTTCAGGTACACCAGTCAGCATTTTGTGATTTCTCTATGTAGTTTTGTATTCGATTATTTCCATAAAAAATATGTATTTATATAATTACATTTGATCATTGTTTATTTTTGTTTCAATCAGATCACTGAATATAAAATAAATGTTCTATGAACATCTTTCCATGACATGTAGATCTTTTGTAATATATATTACCTACTGTGAAATAATATATAATGCAGGTATTTTTCATTTATTAAATAGGTACAATTTTGATATACCTACTTACTTACTATATTCATCTTTTTTTATAATAGATAAAAATAAATCACAACAAACTATGTATAAGTAGTATAATACAATATATTCAACAGCAACTTTGGAGTTGAAAGAAACTGTAATTGTAGAATAACAACAATAATTGATCAGATGTTCACCTTGATTTTCACCAATTATCTTTTCTGTCTTCATTTCCCAGGACACTTTCTTCATTACACTATAAAATATGAAATGTTACATAATTTAATGAACATACCTAGATACCAAGTTTAGCAAGGAAGCAAGAATTTATGATTGAAGTAAAGTAGGTAGATAATTAATGTTTTCTTGAGAACATACCAGGTCTCTAGGTTCTGATGCATGATTGCTATCAATTCGATCTGCTCTCAATTTTCCATACACATCAGTCTTGCATTTTGAATGGCCTAGAGTTTGATGACTCATATGCTGCTATGGGACCCATCTTTCTATATTATGTTTGTATTGAAAACGTGTTTTTTTTTGCAATTACATTACCTCGTTGGTCCCAGCACTGAGACCAAACGCCCCATTAGTCGAAACTTGTGCGGAGTTAGGTAAGTATACAAACACAAACATCCATGGCCTACCTAGGATTCGAACCTATGTCTCGGTGGGAGTCTCCATACGAACTCAGCGCATTCACGCTCTCGACCACCGAGCCGCCTTGTTTCCAAACTCTGTATTGGACCATCAAATGTAAGTTTTGATTCAATTCATCCAAAATGAAAGTTTTCAATTACAGGAAACACTGAATTCATAAATAATGATGTTAATTCATTATAGTCATTATTCAGTACTTCAGTACACAGTACACACGTGGTACACACGAGATAATTCCGAGTTACAACTCGGAATTCTGAGTTGCAAGTCGAAATTTTGAGTTGCAAGTCGGAATTCCGAGTTACAACTCGGAATTGAAATAAAAATAAGTTGATGGCCCCTCTACGCCTTCGTAAATTTCACATTATTCATTTTTCCATGTTTTGTTACCGCATTTTCCGCATCTTGGTTCTTGGAGAGGTAAGACTGAGATGTTTATAGTCTTTAGGCATCTCACTCAAGGAGGAAGAGTCCTCAAGGAATCCTCAGATGAGGAAGACTTGGGGAGTTCTTGGGGAAACGACTTTAAATACGGGCCTGATTAAAAACCAGCCCTTAAGGATGTTTTAAGGGACGAGGTCACCAAGGAGCAACTATAAATACGGGCCTAAAGCGGCGTTCACAATCGAACTTTTCACGTTTTGCCTTTTATGTTTCGGATTCTGATTGGTGAAGCAGAATCTGAAGTTGAACGTGAATTAATTGAACTGAAGCAAACTTCATTCTCAAAATATTCAGCTTTTCGCGTCATTTCAATTCCAGATTTTGTTTCACCAATCAGAATACGAAACGTAAAAAGCAGAACGTGAAACGTTTGGTTGTGAACGCCGCTAAAGGCCAAGGAATATAAACTCTAGGCATGCTACTAATTGCATGACTGGCGAAAGACATTTCTGAAGCGTCGCTCACCGTCCAGCAACAAGACAATTTATCATTGCTTTCAATATAGCTACATAAGTTGTAGGACGTTAAATATGATCCTTTCTGCATTTTGAAAAATTACCTGGGAGAACGGCATTTTCTAAACAATCTCACCTAACTCGGCTGAATTAACCTTCGGAAAATTATGGAATTCGTTCACAGTAAATTCGTCACGTCAAAACATATCTGACTTCACGTCATCCTGTTCTGTGTTTTCTTGTTTCATGTCTTTTTTCTGACATTCTGACACATCTGACATTTTATTATTTTATTGGTCCAAAAGTGAAAAGTCCAAAAGGTCGAATGACTCGAATGTCAAATTGAATCATGATCATGAATGATGAATGTTGAATAGTCGATGGTCGGGTTCGTTTTTTCCACGATTGTATCGTTTTGTTCGTTCCTAGCTCGTTCGTAGTGTTCAGAGAGAGAATGAGGACTTGATGAATCATTGTGAATGATAAAAATAAGCTCAACTGATAATGTAGAGGTGGTGAAAGTGGTGTATGAGTACGATCATTTTGTTATAGAAAAATTGATAATTGATACCTACTTTGAAGTGATAGAATCGTACATAAACTCTAGTTTGGTGTATTGGTGTCATCAGGACAAAAATGGCTTTTAGTAAAAACATTAGGTATCTACCAAGGACATTGCAGTGTTTTTGTTGCTTCCTCATCTTTTCATCTATTGCTATAAGCAAGGTAAGTTATGACTTATGGTATAACTCAGAAGACAAATTAATGGTATTGAAATGCATTGGAGGGTTATATCTACTTGGTGCTATTGCCCAAAAATGGAAAGTGATGATTTAGTGAGGTTTTTACCAACACCCCCTTGATCTATTTCTTTTTGTGAAGCTCTCTGCTATCATATAAGATGAATCGAGAGATGAATATTAGGGCAAATTTCGAATTATTATATGTATTTACTAAATATCTACCTAAAGTGGTGCCAATACTTTTTTTAATTAAATTCCATCTAGGAGATCTACATATTATCAGCTTCTAATTCCATCTTGAACATGTAACAAACTCTTGGTAATTGAACATTTTCAAAATTTCCTTGGCACTTGTCATAACCTTCTAGTAGATGTGCTTTATAAAGGACATTGTTTGTTGCTGAGGAGTCTGAATCTGCAATGGAGAATTGGGGTGCTTTGAGCATGATGAATGGAAATTCACCAAAGATTTCATCAGTATGACTTTGGACATCAATATTTCTATGGAGTAAAATGTGTAAATTGCAATACAAATATAATAACAAAGCCCAAAACTTAACATTTGACAACTATCAAACATTTTATGACTCAAATTAGAACAAAAACATTATTAATCTGAGGACAAAATGAAAATATTCCGATTTCAATCCACCAATGACTCATCTTCAATCTCTGCAAATGAATGATGTGTGTTCTAATAAGCACATGAATTTTTCACATGTACTAGAAAATCCATTGGGTCTTTACCAAAGCATCATTTATGAAATATTCATCAAATGAGATTTTGCCTAAAACACCCAGAATAGCTGCCAAGTGTAACTGTAATATGCAATATAACTTAGATGTCTAAGGTCCCTGTGGAGTAAGACTCAGCACTACCCGGCACTACCCTATAAATTTCAAGAACAAAGCAATTCTTCACATTGGTGAAACTCCATTCCTACTTATGCCATCATTTTAGGACAGCAGAATGAGGGAATGAAGTGTATTAGAGAAAGCTCACGTTTGAGCTCACGTTTTAAATTCATACAGAGTGATAGTCAGTGATGTCAACATTTCAAATATGTTTTCCCTACAGGGACCTAAAAAAATTCCCTACATTGGGAAAAACTCCCTACAAGTCATTTGAAATCAAATGATAGTTATTTATACAGATATTTATTATACCCCAATAAACTTAGCAGAACCACTTCTATATTTCGGATTTACAATAGTACTATAATTTGTTACTAATTTAGTACTAATTTATTATCATATTCGCTAATTTATTACTCTTCATTAAACAGAAAAAACCAATGGCTCTGCTAGCTTTATGTCAACCTAGCAGAACCATAGCTGAAAATGTAATATTTTGAAAATTTTAAATATACCATAATTTATAACTATTTTATTACTAACTTATGACTATAATCACGAATTTTTTACTCATCATTTCAAGGAAAAAAAGGCCAATTTGACTATCTCGATCTCAACCTAGCAGAACCAAAACACAAATCACATGTTTTTTTAAATTCTGTTGTATCATCGATAAGTTACTAATTTATAACTAGTTTATTACTAATTTATTACCACATTCGCAAATTTCTAACACTTGCAAAAAAACTCTCAGGGAGTTCGTGTTTTCGGGTTTCTTGGATGTGTGTATGAAAACGTACTCGTAATAATTTGAGGTGAAATCGGGTTTATTTATACCGAATCGATGACTCTAAAATAAATGTAATATAAATTCAAGTATATCTTACATTGAATCTAAATGGGAAATACCCACATGGCGGAGGAACATACATACAAAAAATATCATTATGAACATCAAATTGATCATACAAAGGTAAGACTCACCTAAAATAAATGCGGGTGCATACACGAAAACGTCGGGTATTCCAAACCCCAAGCAAAGTATTTTAAAGAAATATTCAACGATATAATATATAGGACCCAATGGCGTTCCGAATGAAATCAGGTATCAAAATGGTCAGAAAACTATTCGTTCAGGTAGAAACACTTTTTTCGGATTTGAATGCAAAAACAATTTTCACAAAGGTAGGGCACGTGGCGTCCTCGTCCAATACATACGCGAAGCTTGCACTCTGTCGTACAGATCCTGTTACAGTTTATTTCGGAATGTTCGGCCTCTCGACGCTAGAGAGCGACAAAGATATTTTTAGGATTTGTGTTCGTTCCGATTTGGATTTGGCAAAGGTGAGGTACCTAGTAGGTGAAAAGAGAAAATCTGAAAACACTTACAACCAAATGAAAAATATTTTAATAATGATCCTCGATCATTTACCATGAAGCGGGAAATCTCCATTTGATCTGCTACATCCGACTCCCCTCCAAAAAAGTTAAATGTCCCGTGCATGACGCGACCTGTGTGGCGATGCCTAACAAAACGGCAACTCACACCCTGTATATGATATATGATATATAACCTGAGTATTTAGCGAAAACGTAGGACAGCTGTTGATTTGATTATTAAAAACACTGTATAGTTGTCTATGGAAAAAAAAATTGCTACGGTGGTAGGTGGTACACTTTTAAGTGGCTCGCGTGAAAAATCCCGCGTTCGGCCTTTTTATCAGTATGTTCTAACACGTAAGTATGCTCCCTAACAGACTTTTTAATTCTGTAAGGTCCTTCGAAAAGGAGTAATAGTTTTTTTGTTTCCGATCGGAAAGCTGACGAAATATTATTCGCCTTCAACAGGACGAGGTCTCCCTCACTATACCTGTTATAAGGGCGTCCCGGGTGACTTATGGCCCTACGCTCGGCTCTAGATTTTAAAGTGGCTTCTGCTAAGATTAATTTCTGTTCGTGTGACAGAGCTGGCGTGCCCAGTGGAGCTAGGAATTCAGGTAATAATCTCGGACGGTTTTCTCCGTTTTGGAGCTCGTTTGGCGTGAATCCTGTTGATTCGTGTATGACCGAATTCATAAAATTTTGCAAAATTTTTACATCAACCGCCCACCGACTATGGTTTTCGTGGCAGAAAGTACGGAGAAGGCGGGATATTTCCCGCATACATCTTTCTGCGGGGTTTGCGCACGCGTGCCGCACTGAAATATACGTTAATTTTATACCGAGGTCTTGCAAAGACGTCTTCCACAATTTTGAGGTAAATTGTGTGGCGTTATCGGATAGTATTCTTTGCACCAAACCCTGGTTTTCAAAATAGTCATTTAGTCTGTTCAACATCGCTTTGGTGGTGGCTTTTTTGATAGGGTACAATACGATATATTTCGTGAATACATTAAATACCACGAATATATATGACACGCCCCCCCCTTGATTTAATAAGCGGCCCTAAGGTGTCTATTGCAATTAAATCATTTTTGGAGCTTGGTATTATTTGAGATTGAGGGGGGTTAGGCAATGTGGAAATTTTCGCCCTTTGGCAAATGTCGCAGCACTTTACGTACTTCTTTATGGTTCTTTGCATGTTGAAGAAATATATTTCATCCCTCAAGGCTAAATAGGTCTTATAGACTCCGAAATGCCCGTGGGCTTCGTGAAACGCTAGTACAATATCTTTGATTAAAATTTCTGGGATACAGAGCATTAGCGCAAACTCATCAGATCCTCGTTTGTACAGGATGTCCTTGTGTAAAAGGAACTGACCACTCAATTCTTTCTTATTTTGAATTTTTATTATGATGTGGGAAAGCCTGTTATCTGCAGCCTGTAGATTTTTAATATTTTTCAATTTTTCGTGGAGGGACTGTGGCAATTTGAGTATCGGGAGGAGGTGGAAACATTTATCGGGGGGTGTTGGTAGTCTCACACAAGCAAAACGGGACAGGGCGTCCACCACCAAATTCTCACGCCCCGGAACATGGATAATTTTGAAATCGAACTCCTGTAGCGCCAGTGCCCATCGGGTGATCCGGGGTGATAGCAGCCTGCACGAGTTCAAGTAGGTCAACGTCCTACTGTCTGTATGTAATTGGAAATGGTTTGCCAAAAGGTATGTCCTCCAACGCTGGATGCACCATAGGGCTGCCAACACCTCCTTCTCGTTCGAGTGGTAGCGCCTCTCTCGATCTAACAATAAACGACTGGCCCAAGCAACTACCCGTTTCTGACCGTTTACCATTTGGTAGAGTTGTCCAGCAATACCAATATCGCTTGCATCCGTAGAAACGTGCCACTGCAGGGATAAATCTGGGTGATATAAAAGAGTCGTGGACTTCAATTCACTTTTCAGGTCCTGGAACGCCTTCTGTTGGTCGCTACCCCAAACCCACGATGTTTTTTTCCTAAGAAGACAAGTGAGTGGCTCAGAAATTTCCGCAAACCTAGGCATAAAACTCCTGTCGTAGTTGCACAAACCGAGGAACTTCTGAACCTCCTTTACATTTCTTGGTGTCCGATAGTCTACGACTGCTTGCACACGCTCTTTATCTGGTTGGACTCCTTCTGGGCTGATTGTATACCCTAGGAACTGCATTTCTGCTTGGAAAAAATGACATTTGGACTCCTTTATCGTGAACCCAGCCTCCTTTAACCTGCAAAAAACTTTCTCCAGATGGACTAAATGTTGCTCGAATGATTCGCTCGCCACCAGCAAATCGTCAACAAACTTGACCAAAAAATCAGAAAAATCGTCTCCAAAAACTATGTCCATGGCCCTCGTGAAACTGCTTACCGCTGTAGAAATCCCGAATGGGATGACCCGCCACTGATAGGTTCTCGTCCCCACGATGAATCCGCAGTACTTCCTGTCCTCCTTGCGTAAGGGTATCTGCCAGTACGAGTGGGACAAATCTAACTTTGACAAAAAAGATTTCCCGCCAAGATTTCGGATGATGTCTTCGATACGCAGCGGTAACTCTCTATCTGATACCATCACCGAATTCAAATGCCGGGCATCAAGACAAATTCGTATGCTACCGTCTTTTTTTATCGTAGTCATCAGCGGAGAAATATAGGGTGTAGCTGCCCTCTCAATAACACCCCATTCTTCCATTTGGTTTATAGCTTCATAAA